TCGCCCTCGGTAATGTCGGGAATGCGATTATAAAATTCCTCCATCTGCTGCGTGTATTGCGCGACACTCCCGAATTGCCTATGGTGATGTAATTTTTTGCGCGCAATATAAGTGGAATTAATCGGCTCAAAACGTTTGAGAAGGTCTGCCCGGAACTGCTGCCACGTGGCTTCGCCCTGGAAAATGCTACTGTTGCTTCCGAGCCACTCGAGAGCTGGACCGTGCATCAACGTTGTCGCGAGACGAATTTTCTCGCCGTCGTACTCCGTCGTCGACCATCTGATCGCCGCGAAATAGATTTCCATCGTCGCGAGCCACCGCCTGACGTCGGATTTCCGATCGCTAGGGTCGAACGATTCCGGCGAGCGAAGTTTCGGAACCTCGAACTGACGCTGCGAAGTCGTCGAAGCAGGAATGTTCATGGTCGAGAGGAGCCGCGTAACGCGCTGCAGTTCGTTTCGCAGCTGCTCGTTCTCCAATCGCGACCGTTCAGTCGTCGCTCGCATCTCCGCTTCCATCTTGGCGATTTGCGCGAAGAGCTGCTGCGTAACGTCGTTGGTCGCCGACGAACCCATCCTGTTTAAAAACCACGCGAGGGGGTTAATTCGAAAAGCGCGGAATTGGTGCTTACCAGAATTCGGCGTCGAATTGGTCGCCCCCGGCGGTTTTTTCGAGGCGATTTTTTCCGCGACCGCTGCTTAGCCGAGAGTCGTCGAGTGAGAACGGCTCTGATTACCAAGAGTCACAGGATCGAATTCTCAATCGAAAAGTTGTCACTAAAACTGAATACAAGGCCTATTTATACTCAGAAAGTACAAGGATAAACGAGATAAAACGAACCTTCGGGAACACACCCTTCCCGATACTACAATCACAAGTGCGCATAAGCACGCAAGGCTATTGGCACTTGGGATTACGCCCAGATTACATCGTATACACCACTGTCGGCGCTGTCGGTGCCGTATAATAGGTATGTCGGTGGGAAAAGTAGGAAATAAGAGAAATAAATAGAAGGCTCTAGAAAATAGAATAGTAGGCCGATTGAGATGAGATAAAGACCAAAATAAAGAGGAGAAAAGGGAGAATAGGATAACAGAAAAATATAATAGTGAGAAAATATTATAACGGGGACGTCCTCTCAAAGGCTTCCCGCGGTGCCCTTGCTGCTGATTCAGCTTCGTTGATGGAGCGTAGTGTGCCTGTGGAAGGAGCTCTGTGGGCTGTTCGGCCTCCTGCATCGCCTCATCTTGAAGGATGTAGCTGGTGATGGAGTCCTCGTCGAGGGACTCACGCGTGCCGAGCACCATCATCATCCTCTTCATGAGATTGTAGCCGCGCGACAGGCCCTTGACAATGTGGGTGATGTAGGACGCCGTCGAGTATTCAGCGCCCGCCATCCTCATCTCAGCTAGGATCTGTTGAGCTCGGTTGCAGTAGTCCGTCGCCGAAGCCTGCTCGCCCATACGAATGTGAGTCATCTTCTCCTCTAGCTGTCAGATGTACAGGTCGTCCCTGGCCTGGTACGTCGACAAGATGAAGTGCCACGCCTGGTGACCAGCATCTAGTCGCTCTTGACAGCTCCTGAGCGCTAGCTGCATCATCGGCGAGCATCACCTCGAGATGACCATGAAGGTGAGCAGGTGAGCAGAACGAAACTCCCTACGCAACTCGACATTCTCCTCGGGCGGAATTGGCACGGTGCCGTCGGCGAAGCCCTTCAGCCCGGCGACCTCCAGCTGAGGTTCGATCGACTCCCTCCAGGTGATGAGGTCCCGTTGACCTTGCAGCGGTGTGACGGTGATCCGGTCCGGCGAGAATTTGAAGTAGCCATACGCCAGTGCAATCCCGCCTGCAGTCACATGCGTCGTCGCCGAGAGCCCTCCACCACTTCGTAGAGGAGAGCGACGTCGAGCATCGACGTTGGCACACGAGCTGCCTGCGGCCGCCGTCGACCGCTGCACTCACGCTTGGATTCCGTCGACACCACAGTCGACCTTGATCACCCCTCTCTGCCTCGTGCCTTAGCTGTCGCTGACTCGTGCACCACCGTCGACCTCGTGGTCGACGCCACCTTCGTTGCGCACCGGTCGAGGAGAGGCAGGATGGGAAGGGTGTTCCGTCGCCCACTACGACCGGATGCCCAACTCGACGATCAACAAGGGGATCGTCCCGTACTCGCCATCCGCGTGGCGTTTCCTTGCATCAGCCAAGCGTGTCTCCAAGGTATCCGCTACACCCGCATCAGCTACGGGGTTGACCATGGTGACTATCGCTGCTGTCGGCCTACGAACGACTTAGTAGGTGCAAAAGTCGGCTCCTATATGAAGGTAATTTGCGGGGCCGTCCACACTCACCGCACCATGCGGAGATACACTCTACAACCGTAGTGAGCTAGACTACGGGGGTTGGCACGAACTACTAGGAGTGATTGTAGATTTTCTTAGTTCCTTAGTGCTTGCACATTCACAGGAGAAATCGGCAAGAGTTTTCACTAGGCAAAGTCGAAATTACAGAATGATTTAACAAGCAATGGCAACAATGACTACATCAAGCACCTAGCAGCCCTGCAGCTAGCCTGGTCGACCGCCAGCACAGCTCGGTCGACCGCCTGCCAGCGTTGCGTAGAGGAGCCGCACCAGCACTGCGGAAAGGCGACCTGCCAACAGAGCAGGTCGACGGCGTGCCAACACTGCAATAGAGCGGCTGTCCAGCGTTGCCCCGTAGAACACAGCAGTACGCAAGCTCGCAGGTGCGCGCAGACAATTGGCCCGACTTGCCTCGTTGGGCATCCGTTGGCTATTGTCTGCGCCTGACGAGCCACATCGACTTCAGGATACCAGCCCGCAGTTGCCTTCGCCATCGCAACCTCGACGATGTTCGCGTGCCTCCGCAGAACTCGTCGAGCAGGTTACCCGGTCGACCCGCCCGACCATCTGGTGCTTCCGGTCGACCACCGGGTCCCTCTGGTTGACCACTAGGTGCCTCTGGTCGACCACAGCTCCCGTCGAGATACCCCATGGTCGTCAGACCCTTCCCATCGACCAGAACAGTCAGCGGTTGTCGCCGAGCTCCCCTCGTCGACCGCTGCTCACTTGTCAGGTCGACAGACTGCTCCGTCGACCTCCCGGTCGAACTGCAGGTCGACAGACTGCTCCCGGTCGAGCTCCAGGTCGACGGAGACCCCCTGGTCGAGCTGCGGGTCGACGGAGGCCTCCCGGTCGAACGACCCCTCATGGACAACGGCCCACCTATCGCCCAGACCACTCAGTTGCAGCTGTCGAGCTCCCTGGTCGACAGCAACACCACAGCGGTCCCCTTCAGCTCGACGATGCCTGTCGAGCAGCTCTCCCACTGTGAATGGTCGGCTGCTACTCCCGTACATCCGACCAAGTCGTCGGCGTTGCCCAAGCGAGGGCGGGGCCAACACTCCATTCCCGTTAACAACGGTTCAATACAGTAACGACTCGGGCAGCTGCTCAATAGCGAGTCAGTTGTTTGTCCTTGCTGTCGCGCTGTATTTGTCAAGTCAAAGGTCGCTGACTTTTGACCTTCGCGTAACCTCCAGCAGTTACTTCTCTTGTCAACCTCCGATGTTTGACTCGCCGTTGCTTCGTTGTAGCTCGCTTCGTTTTCAGCTTGCTGTTGCGACACATCAGAAGCGTTTAAGTTACTTGTTTCCAACAGTCTTGTCATATTACCAAGTCAGCAAGGGCGTGGGAGGGTTGCGAGCATCATCGGTCGAAGCCCTACTTTCCGTGGAGTAACCCGTCGCAAAGAAAACCTCCGACAAGCCAATAATGAGGGCCACGAAGACCATAGACTCGATGGGGGAACACTAACACAAATGTATGGTGTATGGTTGCTGTATGGAGCATGCTGTAAGGAGAGAGAGCATGATTGCTTTGACCCTAGATTTCCGTAACGCTAGTGGGCCTGCAACGCCTGCTACGTTAGTTGTCCAATTTTATAACTGATTTTCTTTACACGAGACAACATGAGTAAGCTGAAACAAGACCGGTTTGAGGCACTAAGAAATTAACACTTCATACAGCATAAAAGGCGTGTAAATGATTCACAGAAGAACACGGCAGTAGAAAGGCCGACGGCCCAGTGCTCTCAGGGCTCAGGGCCTCGTGAGAGCTCATAGACGGCTCCAGAGAAAATGGATGTACGGTACTTGAGTTTCTCCTGTAGAGTGCTAGATCGTGCATGCAGCAGACACATGAGCAAAACAGCTCAAAGCCGGTTGCAGAAGAGATGGCATACTTGAGTTTATCCCGAAGCGTGCTGGCTCGGGCAGACGCATGCAGAAGACACATGGAGCAAACAGCTCCAATGGCTACACTCTCAGCACTTATGACAATTCAAAGCCGGTACCAGAAGAGATGGCGTACTTGAGCTTATCCCGCAATGTGCTGGCTCGTTGGTAGGTGGGCAGCTGCGTGGGGGAGGGTTGGACAGGAGTTGGGGGAGGGGAAGAGGAAGTAACATTGTACAAGAGTTTATCACGCAGTCTGCTGGCTAGTTGGTATGTGGGCAGTTGTGGCATGGGGTACAAGGAAAGTCATTCAGTGAAAGGCATACTCAGATCGTGAGATCCAAGGATATAGAATTAGAGAGATATAGAATAAGAGAAGGAAAGATGACATTACGGGGTTGCGATACTGGAAAAGAGGTGACAACCAAGTGGTCAATCGTTACCTTGAGCCGATTGTTGAGAATTCTTAAAAATCGCTCACATTGAGCCGCTTGTAGAGCAGCGGAAACAAGAGCTACCATTGTAGCTCAACAAAAACAATGACTACCTTGAGCAAGTTGTAGCAGGCTGTAGCGCAGCAGGAGCAATGATTACCTTGAGCAGGCTGTAGCACAGCAGGAGCAATGATTACCTTGAGCAGGCTGTAGCACAGCAGGAGCAATGATTACCTTGAGCAGGCTGTAGCACAGCAGGAGCAATGATTACCTTGAGCAGGCTGTAGCACAGCAGGAGCAATGATTACCTTGAGCAGGTTGTAACAGGTGGAAGCGGTGGGAAGCCAGTCCACATCGGGCCCTCCTAGTGTAGCCCACATGGACGCATCCACGTTGACCTGATAGCGAGGCGAGTTATATGGGGTACAAAACACACGCAGCATGAAGCAGAGGGCAAGTGCTAGCAGTGGGTAGCCAGTCCACGTCAGGCCCTCCCAGTGTTGCCCACATGGACGCATCCACGTTGACCTGATAGTGAGGCAGGCTATATGGGGTACGAATGAAACACATTCAGCATGAGCCATGGGGCAATAAGCAGCGATGCCCTCCTAGCTTAACCCATATGAGCGCGCCACATTCACCTGATAGCGAGGTCACACGCTACAGTTCACTGTAATCACAACCATTCACCTTCCAGTCACATTTGTTGATAGTCACACCTACCTTGTGGATGGTGAGGGGCGGGTTGAGATGCTTAAAGCCCAGCAGCGGGGGTCGCGAGCAACTTGTCACGAATTTAAGCAGCTGGCTCTTCTCCTCCCTTGATAACTCCTTCACCACCTGTTGTGATGTTATACGATGAGACAGTGGCATGGGAATGGGAGAGGGAAGCAAGGCGAGAGAGGAAAGGAGGATTCATGTGAGCAGCTGGTGACGAATCTGAGCAGCTGGCTCTTCTCCTCCCTTGATAGCTCCTTCACCACCTGGTGTGATGGTGATACATGGGGAGAAAGGCAAGACAGCCGAAAGAGATGAGGGGAGCAAAGGCAAGAAACTACTCTCGGTCGCTCTCTGTGTATCCCCCCGGATATCTTGTTTGTTGAAGCAACGGCAACTATTGCACAATGATTCACGGAAACCAACCACGCACCTCCCAGAACATGTGGATGGTCTGGTCGCTCTCCGTGTAACCCCTTCCATTATCTCATGAATGAAAATTGTAGGTACTCACTCAGTTATTCGCAGAACAAAATCACGCACCTCCCAGAACATCTTGATGGTGCGGTCACTATCCGTGTATCCCCCCGAGTATCGCGTGTGCTCTGTACGCAGGTTCACAGTCCATGTAACAATGTTGCACAGTAACCAAACACGCACCTCCCAGAACATGCGGATGGTGCGGTCGCTCTCCGTGTATCCCCCAGAGTACCGCGTGTGGGCCTTGATTGAAGGTAAACAATACATACAACGCCAACGCACAAGCCAACCACGCACCTCCCAGAACATCCTGATGGTTCGGTCGCTCTCCGTGTATCCCCCAGAGTACCGCGTGTGTGCCTTGAGATCCTCCACGTCCACGTCCTGCTCTCCTCCCGACAGCAGCTGCAAGCAAGCACATAGAGACAGGCAGAGTAGACAAATGCATGTATTGGGCTCGAGACTTAGAGAGCTTGCAGTGTAGACAGCAGTGCCCTGAGATCCTCCACGTCCACGTCCTGCTCTCCACTTGACGGCAGCTGCTCATACACACAAACATGAGGCATGGAGATTGGGCTTGAGGCACAGAGATTGGCCTTGAGGCACAGAGATTGGCCACAAGTAACGGCTCCGTGTCCCCCCCCCAGGATTGCGTGTGTGCCCTGAGATCCTCCACGTCCACGTCCTGCTCCTCGCCTGATAGCAGCTGCTCACGCACACAGACATGAGACACAGAGATTTGGACATGAGAAACTGCTTCGAGTATCTCGTGTGTGTGCCTTGAGATCCTCCACGTCCATGTCCTGCTCTCCGCCTGACAACAACTGCTTGGGGAGCGGAGCACACACAAGACACAGGCACACACAGGAGGCAGGAAGGCACATTGGGGAGACAACATCACAGAAGCACACACAGCAGAGAGCAGACACGTTGGGCTCCAGGCTTGGATATACCGCCTTGAGATCCTCAACATAATCGTCCTGCTCTCCTCTTGACAGGAGCTGCTCAATGAGATGGAGAGAGTATAGATTGGGTTTTGAGGCACAGAGATCAGGCTGAGAGCTGTGTGCCTTGAGATCCCTCCACGTCCACATCCTGGTCCCTGCCTGACAGCAACTGCTCACACAGAGAGTTACATAGACACATGCACCCAGAGTCATAGACACAGACCGCAGAAGCAAACAAAACACTCTGTTGCTATCTCCTGTGGTGTGGACTCAACTGTTTACTTGCTACCTTGTGTGTTCCAAGCTGTTCTGTTGCAATCTCCTGAAATCTCACCTGGTTGAACTCCTTTGGACTGAACAGCCGCAGCCACTCGGGCTGAATCAGATCTGAGAGGCCCCTTAGGAATGCTGCTACCACTGCTGCCATCTGCCAGTGTGTGCGGGGGGATGGGGGAAGAGAACAGACAGACTTATGAGTTGTCTCAACAGCCGCAGCCACTCTGGCTGAATCAGATCTAAGAGGCCCCTCAGAAACGAATGCTGACATTGATGGTGTGTGGAACGAAAGAAATACCCATTGGCCATTGATGGTTTTGCCTGAACTCTTTCTTAATGGTATAGCGTGCACTGAGTCACACTGTCACAACAACATGGATGCACTGCGGACTTTCCTCACCGGCCCCAGCTGAAACAACCTAAGAACTGCCGATTACATCAAAAGCAGCATGAATGTACTGCAGGCTGTTCTCACTCACTGGTCACTGCTGAATTCACCTCACCTCTGTTGAAACCACCTGAGAACTCACCTGACGGTTGAGCTTGTAATCTGCCACGGCATGGATGTACTGCAGCTTGTTCTCATTGGTCACAGTTGACTCCACCTGACCACTGTTGAAACCACCTGAACTATCACCTGACGGTTGAGCTTGTAATCCGCCACGGAGTGGATGTACTGCAGCTTGTTCTCATTGATCACTGCTGCTTTCACCTGAAGTCTCACCTGACGGTTGAGCTTGTAATCAGCAACAGCGTGGATATACTGCAACTTGTTCTCATTGGTCACTTCTGCAACCACCTGGACACTGCTGCTTTCACCTGAGAACTCACCTGACGGTTGAGCTTGTAATCAGCAACAGCTTGAATGTACTGCAGCTTGGTCACTGTTGAGTTCACCTGACCACTGTTGAAACCATCTGAGAAATCACCTGACGGTTGAGCTTGTAATCAGCCACAGCATGGATATACTGCAGCTTGTTCTCATTGGTCACTGCGATGTGGCTGCCGCCCGGCCGCAGCTCCACGATATTGTGCTCGCCCAGCACCTCCTCAGTCACTGTGAAGTCCAATGCCAGTTCAGAGGCATCCCCCTCATAGTGCTGAGGAATGGCAAGATGTAAGCAGGGGAGCGGGAGAACAGAGGGCGAGTAGACAAGGGTTGACGGCCGCAGCTCCACAATATTGTGCTCTCGCAGCACTTCTTCAGTCACTGTGAAGTCCAATGCCAGTTCTGATGCATCCCCCTCGTAGTGCTGTGGGAAGAGACAGGGGGGTAAGGGGAAAGGGATGGTGCATTGGTCACCGCGATGTGACTGCCGCCCGGCCGCAGCTCCACAATATTGTGCTCTCCCAACCAGCACTTCCTCTGTCACAGTGAAGTCCAGAGAAAGTTCAGAGGCGTCCCCTTCATAGTGCTGAGGATAAGTTGAGAGATGAGGAAGGAGGGGGAGAGACACATGGGCTGGAGGCTGGAGGCCACAGCTCCACAATATTGTGCTCGCCCAACACTTCTTCAGTAACCGTGAAGTCCAATGCCAGTTCAGATGCGTCCCCTTCATAGTGCTGCAGGAGGTAGCAGGAAGTGGCAGGGGGTAAGGAGAAAGGGATGGTACATTGGTCACGGCGATGTGACTGCCGCCCGGCCGCAGCTCCACAATATTGTGCTCTCCCAACACCTCCTCTGTTACCGTGAAGTCCAGAGCCAATTCAGAGGCATCGCCTTCATAGTGCTGCATGGGGAAGGAGAAGAGGAAGGAGGGTGACAAGGGGACAGGCAAACAAAGGTTGGGTGCACGCCGCAGCCCCACAAAATTGTACTCTCCCAACACCTCTTCAGTCACTGTGAAGTCCAACGCCAGTTCAGATGCATCCCCCTCGTAATGCTGCGGGAAGAGGTGGAACAGAGGGCGGATAGACAAGAATTGACAGCCGCAGCTCCACAATGCTGTGCTCTCCCAACACCTCCTCTGAGGCATCCCCTTTGTAGTGCTGCGGGAAGTGGCAGGGGGGTAAGGGGAAAGGGATGGTGCATTGGTCACCGCGATGTGACTGCCGCCCGGTCAAAGCCCCCAGCACCTCTTCAGTCACCGTGAAGTTGAATGCCAGCTCGGATGCATCCCCTTCATAGTGCTCTTAAAAGACTTTCTCTGTGACTGCGAAGTCTAGTGCAAGCTCAATAAGGAGGAGAAGGGAGACATGGGCTTCTCTCATGGCAGCTCCCCTCGCTACCTCACACCCACCTTCAGGCACATGAGGTTGCGATACAGCTCCTTATCCAATGAAGAGAGCTTGTCCAGGAACGAATATCTCCTCCTGAACAATCAATGTGCGTCACACACCAGTGCGCGGTCAAGCCACAACCCACTTTGAGGTACTAGAAATGGTAATGGTAATGGTAATGGTAATGGTAATTGTGATTGCAATTGTAATGGTAATGGTAATGGTAATAGTATTTGTAATAGTAATGGTAATGGTAATGATAGTGGTAGTGGTAATGGTAACGGTAACGGTAACGGTAACGGTAACGGTCATGGTCATGGTCATGGTAATGGTAATGGTAATGGTAATGGAAATGGTAATAGTAATGGTAATGGTAATAATGTTAATAGTAGTAATGGTAATGGTGGTGGTAATGGTAGCTGTAATGGTAATGGTAATGATAATGGTAATGGTAATGAGAATGGTAATGGTAATGGTGATTGTAATGATAGTGGTAATGGTAATGGTAGTAATGATGGTAGTAATGGTAATGGTAATTGTAATGGTAATGATAATGGTAATGGTAATGATAGTAATGGTAATGGTGGTGGTAATGGTAGTTGTAATGGTAATGGTAATGATAATGGTAATGGTAGTGGTAGTGGTAGTGGTAGTGGTAATGGTAACGGTAACGGTAACGGTAACGGTAATGGTAACGGTAATAGTAACGGTAATGGTAACGGTAATGGTAACGGTAACGGTAATGGTAACGTTCATGGTAATGGTAATGGTAATGGTAACGGTAATGGTAACGGTAATGGTGACGGTTGTGCTAATGATAATGATTATGGTAATGGTAATGGTAACAGTAACGGTAACGGCAACGGTAACAGTACCGGTACTGGTAACGGTACTGGTTCGGTAACTGTGATGGTAACGGTAACGGTAACGGTAACAATAACAGTAATGGTAACGGTCATGGTAATGGTAATGGTGATTGTAATGCTAATGGTAATGGTAGTTATGATGGTAGTAATGGTAATGGTAATTGTAATGGTAATGATAATGGTAATGGTAATGATAGTAATGGTAATGGTGGTGGTAATGGTAGTTGTAATGGTAGTTGTAATGGTAGTTGTAATGGTAATAGTAATGATAATGGTAATTGTTATGGTAATGGAAATGATAGTGGTAGTGGTAGTGGTAGTGGTAATGGTAATGGTAACGGTAACGGTAACGATAATGGTAATGGTAACGATAATGGTAACGATAACGGTAATGGTAACGGTAGTGGTAACGTTAACGGTAATGATAACGTTCATGGTAATGGTAATGGTAACAGTAATGGTAACGGTAATGGTGACGGTTGTGCTAATGATAATGGTTATGGTAATGGTAATGGTAACAGTAACGGTAACAGTAACGGTAATGGTAACGGTAACGGTAACAGTAACGGTAATGGTAACGGTCATGATAATGGTAATGGTAGTAATGGTAATGGTAGTAATGGTAATGGTGGTGATAATGGTAGTTGTAATGGTAATGGTAATGGTGATTGTAATGCTAATGGTAATGGTAGTTATGATGGTAGTAATGGTAATGGTAATTGTAATGGTAATTGTAATGGTAATGATAATGGTAATGGTAATGATTTTAATGGTAATGGTGGTGGTAATGGTAGTTGTAATGGTAGTTGTAATGGTAATGATAATGGTAATTGTTATGGTAATGGTAGTGGTAGTGGTAGTGGTAATGGTAACGGTAACAGTAACGGTAATGTTAATGGTAATGGTAACGGTAATGGTAACGGTAACGGTAATGGTAACGTTCATGGTAATGGTAATGGTAATGGGTAACGGTAATGGTGACGCTTGTGCTAATGATAATGGTTATGGTAATGGTAATGGTAACGGTAACGGTAACGGTAACGGTGACGGTCTCGTAACGACACTGGTCCGGTAACGGTAATGGTAACGGTAACGGTAATGGTAACGGTCATGGCAATGGTAATGGTAATGGTAACGGTAACGGTAATGGTAATGGCAATGGCAATGGCAACGGCAACGACAACGGTAATGGTAACGGTAACGGTAACGGTAACGGTAACGGTAATGGTAACAGTAACGGTAACAGTAATGGTAATGGTAACGGAAATGGTAACGGTAATGGTAACGGTAATGGTAACGGTAACGGTAAGGGTAACGGTAAGGGTAACGGTAATGGTAATGGTAACGGCAATGGTAACGGTAATGGTAACGGTAATGGTAACGGTAATGGTAACGGTAATGTTAACGGTAATGGTAACGGTAACGGTAATGGTAACGGTAACGGTAACGGTAATGGTAACGGTAATGGCAACGGTAATGGTAACGATGATGGTAACGGTAATGGTAACGGTAACGGTGATGGTAATGGTAACGGTAATGGTAACGGTAATAGTAATGGTAATGGTAGTGGAGTCTTGCCCACGATGGTGCACCTCAGTCACGACTCCACTCACTTTTACACCCACCTTCAGATACATGAGGTTGTGGCACCCACCTTCAGCTCCATGTCCAGCGATGAGATCTCGTCCAAAAAGGCATATCTCTTATGGAATGTGCTTGTACAGGGCTGTGCTGCCCACTATGTCCCCTTGCTACACTCACACCCACCTTGAGGTACATGAGGTTGCGGTACAGCTCCACATCTAGCGATGAGAGCTTGTGCAAAAAGGCGTATCTCCCCACTAGGTCCAACGCGGGTCCCCATGCTTATGAACACGCCACCGCCACACCCACCCTCCCACCCACCTTCAAATACATGAGGTTGCGATACAGCTCCATATCGAGAGAAGACAGCTCGTCCAAAAAGGCGTATCTCCCCACGAGCTTCGACACAAAGAGCGGGGCGAAGTTGTACTCAAGCAGAATCCCCTCGTAGAGAGCCTTGCCCACGATGCGGCCGAGAAACTCCACCATGGGAATGCCGTGGCCCAGCGCCGCTGCTGCCGGGTGTGGATACAGGTAACCCTCTTCTGTGGCCGCCTGGAGGAACAGGCCGTAGCTGGGGAGAGCAGGGAGGGAAGGGAGGGAAGGGAGGGAAGGGAGGGAAGGGAGGGAAGGGAGGGAAGGGAGGGAAGGGATGGATGAAGAGAATAACCTAAACTCCAACACGATGCGGCCGAGAAACTCCACCATGGGAATGCTGTGGCCCAGCGCTGCTGCAGCCGGGTGCGGGTAGAGGTAACCCTCTTCTGTTGCTGCCTGGAGGAACAGACCGTAGCTGGGGAGAGCAGGGAGGGAAGGGAGGGAAGGGATGGATGAAGAGAAGAACCTAAACTCCAACTCGATGCAGCCCAGAAACTCCACCATGGGAATGTCGTGACCCAGCGCTGCTGCTACCCCAGCACAACGGTTGTTGAGCAGAGGGGAAAGGGAACAACTGTTCGGCTTGGTTCAAAGGGCTGCAATACGTGAAGATTACGCTCGAGCAGAGGGGAAAGCGAACACCTGTGCGTGTTCGTCACGGCACCGACCGCTCATACGCTGCACCGCCCGCTCATACGCTGCACCACCCGCTCATACGCTGCACCGCCCGCTCATACGCTGCACTGCCCGCTCATACGCTGCACCGCCCGCTCATACGCTGCACCGCCCGCTCATACGCTGCACCGCCCGCTCATACGCTGCACCGCCCGCTCATACGCTGCACCGCCCGCTCATACGCTGCACCGCCCGCTCATACGCTGCACCGCCCGCTCATACGCCGCACCGCCCGCTCATACGCCGCACCGCCCGCTCATACGCCGCACCGCCCGCTAATACGCCGCACCGCCCGCTCATACGCCGCACCGCCCGCTCATACGCCGCACCGCCCGCTCATACGCTGCACCGCCCGCTCATACGCTGCACCGCCCGCTCATACGCTGCACCGCCCGCTCATACGCTGCACCGCCCGCTCATACGCTGCACCGCCCGCTCATACGCTGCACCGCCTGCTCATACGCTGCACCGCCCGCTCATACGCTGCACCGCCCGCTCATACGCCGCACCGCCCGCTCATACGCCGCACCGCCCGCTCATACGCCGCACCGCCCGCTCATACGCCGCACCGCCCGCTCATACGCCGCACCGCCCGCTCATACGCTGCACCGCCCGCTCATACGCTGCACCGCCCGCTCATACGCTGCACCGCCCGCTCATACGCTGCACCGCCCGCTCATACGCTGCACCGCCCGCTCATACGCTGCACCGCCCGCTCATACGCTGCACCGCCCGCTCATACGCCGCACCGCCCGCTCATACGCCGCACCGCCCGCTCATACGCCCACCGCCCGCTCATACGCCGCACCGCCCGCTCATACGCCGCACCGCCCGCTCATACGCCGCACCGCCCACTCATACGCCGCACCGCCCGCTCATACGCCGCACCGCCCGCTCATACGCCGCACCGCCCGCTCATACGCCGCACCGCCCGCTCATACGCCGCACCGCCCGCTCATATGCTGCACCGCCCGCTCATACGCTGCACCGCCCGCTCATACGCTGCACCGCTCGCTCATACGCTGCACCGCCCGCTCATACGCTGCACCGCCCGCTCATACGCTGCACCGCCCGCTCATACGCTGCACCGCCCGCTCATACGCTGCACCGCCCCGCTCATACGCTGCACCGCCCGCTCATACGCTGCACCGCCCGCTCATACGCTGCACCGCCCGCTCATACGCTGCACCGCACGCACACCCACTGCATTGCACTGCACAACCTACCAATTCAAAGTGTCACCTGCCACTCAATGTGCGACCTGGCCCAACCAAGCACCACCTGCCCCAGGTGCCACCACCTGCCCCAGGTGCCACCACCTGCCCCAGGTGCCACCGCCTGCCCCAGGTTTAACCTACCCCCCGGTCGAAGGCTGCTTTAGCAAGGTCAATGAAAAACTCTTTAAAGAGTCCGCTCTGGTCCATTCCTATCTCGACGTCACATGCACCACCTGTCCCAGGCGCCACCACCTGTCCCAGGCGCCACCACCTGTCCCAGGCGCCATTAACCCCTAGTGCCACGTACCCCGGGTCAAAGGCTGCCTTAGCAAGGTCAGTGAGGAACTCTTTGAAGAGTCCGCCCTGGTCCATTCCTATCTCCTCCGCTCCAAACGCATTCACAAATGAGACACGCACACGTCCCTGTGAGGTGTGTGAGTGGAGTAGGTCAAGAGCGCGAGAGAGGAGAGAAGTGGAAAGGTGGGAAGCGCAGCAGGAGGAGGGAGCAATGGAGGGTCCGCCCTGGTCCATTCCTATCTCCTCCAAACGCGTTCATGAAGAAGACATGGACATGGCCCTGTGAGATGGAAGGACAGAGATGGAGGGGCAGAGATGGAGGGGCAGAGATGGAGGGGCAGAGAAAGTGAGAAATAAATGGACATGGACATGGCCCTAGGGGGAGAGTCCGCCTAGGCTCTGAACGCATTCACAGAGGAAACACGGGCCTGTGAGGTGGTGGTGGTGGGGGAGAGATAGGGGGAGGAATGAAAGAGAGAGCAACACAGAGCATGACACAACGTGGCAGAAGCTTCCCCACAGTGCCACCTTGATCATGGCCGTATCATACACCCCCTCCTCCCTCCCCCCACCTTAACCACGGGCCACAGCTGGTTGAGGCGCACTAAGGCATCCTCCGCCAGCAGGTGACGCCGCACCGACACGTCACATGCCCACCTGTTGCATGCATGGGTAACCCTCAGAAGCTTTTGAGTCGACTCAAAAGTCACCTCGTCACACGCCCACCTGTCGCATGCATGGGTAACCCTCAGAAGCTTCCCCTCAAGTGATACCTTGAGCATGGGGCCGAGTAGGTTCAGTCGCATCCTCGACAAGCTGGTCGACTGGACTTGTGACATTCTCAGCGCGCCGCACGGCGGACACGTCCACCACCGGCCCGCATGGGGACAAGCAGGTCGCGCCGCACGGCGGACACGTCCACCACCGGCCGCACCGCGGGTGGGTGGGTGGGTGGGTTGAGACCGCACTGTGCCCTGCCTGGGAGTCACCTCAGTCAGTGCCTTGCAATGCTACTGCTCCCTCTCGTCCCTCGTTGGTACCTTGAGCATAAGGCCAAGTTGGTTCAATTGCACAAACGCGTCTTCCACCAGTAAGTCCCGCCGCACGGACACGTCCACCACAGGCCACACCATGCCCATCCCATGCCACACCTTGTCACTCCCAAAGCGGCTTCCTCTCAGTGATACCTTGAGCATCGGTCCGAGTTGGTTGAGGCGCACGAACGCATCCTCAACTAGCAAATCCCGCCGCACTGACACGTCCACCACGGGCCGCACCATACCCATGCCAGGGGTAGCCCCTAGTCCATGCCGCGCCTTGTCTGCTTGAATCAGCTCCCGGAATATGTACACTCTGAGAGAAGACAGAGGGGAGAGCACGAGGGACAGCCAAAGGAGGAGTGGAGAAGAGGGACAGGAGAGGGTTTTGAGGCTGTCACACCAACCCCGTGCCTCTCCTCGTCTGCTTGCATAAGCTTCCACGAGCAGAGCGGGTCGCGCCGCACGGACATGTCCACCACGGGCCGCACCATGCCCATCCCGGGGGTAACCCCTAGTCCATGCCGCACCTTGTCCGCCTGAAGAAGCTCCCTGAATATGTGCACCCTGTGGCAAGAGAAGCGGGGCATGGGGGCCACAAGAAACAACGGAATGGGGAGTGGGAAGAGGGACAACCACACGGGACGTCCACCACAGGCCGCACCGTGCCCATCCTGGGGGTAGCCCCTAATCCATGCCGCGCCTTGTCCGCTTGAATGAGCTCGCGGAATATGTGCACCCTGGGATGAGCGAGGTGAGACATGGGGGGCACAAGAAAAAGCCGAATGGGGAGAGGGAAGAGGGACAGGGCAGCCGCACAGACACGTCCACCACTAGCCGGACTGCCCATCCGGGAGGTACACAAGTAACACCTAGTCCATGCCATGCCTTGTCCGCCTGAATGAGCTGGCGGCGGGTTATGTGCACCCTGAGAATTGATTCCAGGAGACCCGAAGAAAGAGTGGGGAAGAAGGGCAGGTAAGGGGTTTGAATCTGTCACACCAACTCCGCGCCTCCTCTTGTCACGAGCAGAGCAGGTGGCGCCTAACAGACAAGTCCACCACGGACCGCACCATGCCCATTCCGAAAGTCACTCCCAACCAGAGCCGAGCCTCACCTTGTCCGCCTGAATGAGCTCGCGGAATATGTGCACCCTGGAGCACAAAGGAGAGCAGAAGAGCGACGGATGAGGGCTTCGAGCCTGTCACGCCTGTGCCATTCCTACATTTCAAATACATCTATTGTAGCTCTTCCCCCCACCCTCCCTCCCCCCCATCCCTACATTTGTGAACACAGCTCGCACCTCTTCTCAAACGGGAGCACGTGGGGCAGCGTGCGCAGCACTGCCGCCATCGCAGACCCACTCTGCTGCTCCTTCCCCTTCTCCGCGCCTCCTCTCCCTCTCCCTCCTCCCGCCATCATCACCCCCCCATCTCCTCCAAGTTCCCCACCTCCGCCTCCTGCCCCCCCGCCCATGCCTAGTTCCCCCATCCACTCCCCCATCTCCCAGTCCTCCTCCCCTCCCCCCATCATTCCCCCCATCCCCCCTCCCCCCTCGCCCCCAACCCCATGGTGTCTGGCTGCGCCTGCAGGGAGGGAGGGGGGATAGTGGAAACATGGGAATGGAGGAAGGAGGAAGTGAGTGAAAAATACTACTCTGCATTTTTGGAAGTGAGTGAAACATGAAATACCAACGTTCCCTCCATCCATCATTCCCCCCATTCCCCCTCCCCTCCTCGCCCCACACCCCATGGTGTCTGGCTGTGCCTGCAGCGGTGGGAACAGCAGGGGAAGGAAGAGAGTCGGAACGGAAGAGAAGACGGGGAGCAATGAGCTCAGGGAGTTTTTGAGAATTCTCAAAAACTCCCTGAAAACGGGTAGCAATGAGCTCACAGAAAAGGGGAGCCAGAGGGAGGGCTCGCAGAGGGAGGAGGCAGCGAGGAGGAGAAAGGGAAAAGGGACGTGGAACCACCAGGGAAAAGGGACGTGGAACCACCAGGGAAAAGGGACGTGGAACCACCAGGGAAAAGGGACGTGGAACCACCAGGGAAAGAGTACAGTACCCACCTGCTCGCCCAACATACCTGCTGCCGAGATGACAGGTGGTGGGCGGCGGTCAGCCGGGGCCAGCCAGAGGGAAGGCTCGCAGAAAGCTCTTCTGCAGTCGCGGTCGTGCAGAGGGAGGAGGCATCGAGTGGCTGCTTCTAGTAGAGCGGATTGTTCAATGACTTTTACCTGCTTTTGAACATCTAGGCCCACCGTAGCACATAATTGGGCTCGTATGTACCTGCTGCAGAGATGACAGGTGGTGGGCGGCGGTCAGCAGGGGCCAGCCAGAGCGAAGGCTCACAGAAGGCTCGTCTACAGTCGCGGTCGTGCAGAGGGAGGAGGCAGCGCGTGGCTGCTTCTAGTAGCGTGGATTGCGAAGGGGTGAGCGGGGAAGAGGCGGAGGCGGATGAGGAAGAGGAGGGGGACGGGGAGGAGGAGGAGGGGGAGGAGATGAGTGTGTTGTAAACGAGAGTGTTGAGTGTTGCTGCGATGACTCTTTGCTCGGAAAGAGAGAAGGGGATCTGAGGGAAGAGGGGAACACGGGACAAGGAAGAGGAGGGATACGGAGGGAAGAGGGGCAGGGGCAGGCAGACAAGTGGGAGGAGATGAGGGTGCTGTAGACTAGGTTGCTGACAGGCAAGGGAGTGGGTATAGAAGGAGGAGAAGATGATTTTTGCATGTTGCAGGCAAGGGTGTTGTTGTGTATGGCTGAAATGACCTGCTGCTCTAAAAGAGAAAGGGATCTGAGGGACAAGGTAAGCCAAACCACCCCACCACACAGCACCGCACCCCACCGCACAGCACCGCACAGGACCCACCACCCCACTGTGCAGCACCGCACAGCACCCACCTGTCTCTGGTAGAACTCCTCATCATCCAGCACGAGCAGCAGGTGGGCATACGCCCTGCAGAACACCGTCATTACCACTGCCACGTCAGCCGCCACCCCTGCCACCCCCTTCTTCATACTCTCCACATCCCACCGCTCTCCTCCTCCCTCTCCCCCCTCTCTTCCCTCGAATCCCCCAGTTCCCGCTCCCACTCCCCCCTCCTCTCCTCCTTCCTCTTCCCCCTCGTCAATATCCTCTTCCATATAGTCACCTGTCTGGGTCTCCCAAAACGTCCTCCCGCCTCCCTCTCCCCCTCCTCTTCCTCTGCGCCCTCTCTGTGCCTCTGCTGCGCGTCTCTGGAACGTGGAGGAGAGAAAGGTGGACCACTGCTGTGCTGCCGTTGACCCTGGTTGACTTGATTGACCAGCCTGCCGCCCACCAATGAATGCAGCCAGCGCAGCATCATCATCACCCGCACTCCCGGGCGGCCTTCCCTGGCCGGCAGAATCTGTCTGCATGTGGTCAACGCCCGTTCTATCTCTTCCTACCCCTTCTCCTCCCCTTCCACCTCTTCCACCTCCTCCTCCATGTGGGTTCCCCCACTCATCCTCCTCCTCCGCCCTTTCCTCCCCTCCCTCCCCACCTCCCCCATACCCGTCCAAAAACGACCTTGGAAACCAGCTGCCCGAAAACTGGGGCAGCTGAAACGAACCAGCCACTCCCCCTCCCCCTCCCCCTTGCCTGCTCCCTTCCCTCCTCCCTCTGTTTCCCCTCCTGCTAGATCCCTCTCTTGCCCTCCCACCACCACCACCAGCACCAGCAGCAGAACCACCACCAGCAGTACCAGAACCACCACCACCAGTACCAGCAGCAGCAGAACGAGTAGCACCAGCACCGCCAGCAGCAGCCGCCTGTATTCCCTTGGAACCACTCTGTACCCCTTGCAAACCACTCTGCATCCCCTCACTCTCCGCATACGCCTGAGAAATAGAGATACGGCAGTGAGCCACCAGCCAGTGCCACAGCCCTGTGAGAACCTCGCGAGTGAAGGCGAGGACGTTGAGGAGAGGGAGCACCCGCCCTGAGGACGCATGCACCGAGGAGAAGAGCGTGAGGAGGAGCGAGTAGAGGCGGCCGAAATCGCCCATGTCTAGCTGCTGCCGCCCTGCTGCTCCTCCTCCTCCTGCTCCTGCTGCTGCTGATCCTGATGCTGCTACTGCAGCAGGTTTCCCTCCCGATTCTGCTGCCTTTTCCGCACTTTTTTCGGCTTTAAGGGCTTCTTCTAGGACCCTCAGCACGTGCCACCGCTGACACAAAGGGGAAATATCCTCGTAAAAACACGGGTGCACCTGCCTACGCCCGCCTCTTCTTCCCCTCCCGTCCTCTTCCTCATCCTCCTCATCCTCCTCCTCCTCCTGCTGCTGCTCCCTTCTCTTTATCCCTTTCCCTCCTCTCTCCTCCCTCACCTCTTTCTCCTCATGGGCTATCACAGCAGCAGCTAGGGCGCAGAGGGCGTGGACATAGAGTGGCAAGTCCAGACCGGGTAGGAACAGCTCAGAGGAGAGTGAGGGAGAGGGAGGAGGAGGAGGAGAGGGTGGAGAGGGGGAAGGGGAGGAGGATGGAGAGGGGGAGGAGGAGAGGGAAGGGGGGGCGGTGGCGAGAGCAGAGACGTTTGCTAGAGCCCAGGCGGGAGGGGGGAGATGGGAGGTGAGCCGGTGGTATGGGTCTGGTGGCGAGGGGTGGGGGGAAGGAGCCTGGCGCTGCAAGAGAGGAGAGAGAGGGGCAGGTAAATAGCAGAGGGGAGGGAGGGAGAGGGGGAGAGGGGTCGGGGACACAAATGAGAGAGCAGCAGAGAGGGTAGCTAGGACCAGCCGGGAGGGGGGAGATGGGAGGTGAGTCGGTGGTATGGGTCGGGTCGCGAGGGGTGGGGGGAAGGAGCCTTGCGCTGCACGAGGGGATAGGAGGGGAAAGGCACAGAGCGGAAGAGAATCGGAGGGGCAATGGAGGGGCAGGCAGCAAAGAAGAAGGGTTGGGGCAACGGAGAAAATGATTACACCAGATAGGTGAGGAGGCACGGCTGGAGCACTGACAGATGGCGCAAGGCAGGGAGGAGGAGAGACGGACGGGGTTGTTTAATGGAGAAGGTAAACGATTCTGGCAGGCAGACAGGTGCATTATCGTAGATGGCTTGGAAGAACGATTCGTACCAGGCAGGAGAGGAGGCACGGTAGGAGCGGTGACAGATAGCGCAGGGAAGGGAGGAGGGGAGAAAGAGATTTAGTGGGCAAGGCCGAAGGTTCATGTAGAAAAGAGGAGAGGAGAGAAGGGTCGTACCAGGCAGGAGATAAGGCACGGTTGGAGCGCTGACAGATAGCGCAGGGAAGGGAGGAGGGGAAAGAGAGGCATAGTGGGCAAGGCCAGAAGTTAAGTTGAGGTAGAAAGGAAGAGAAGAGAGAATGATCGTACCAGGCAGGAGATAAGGCAGGGCTGGAGAGCTGACAGATGGCGCAGGGCAGGGAGGAGGGGGGATGGCAGGCGCCACGTCAGCAGTGGGATGGTGAGAATGTGGGCGGCAAACTGATCTGCTGCCAATGATGCCCATGCTGCATGCAAAGGAACGGAACATAGGGCATACAGACAAGGATGCGAGAGTAGACTTTTGAGATGCGTCCAAATTCAAATGTGGGCGGGCGGCAAACTGATCTGCTGCCAGAGAGGCCCACGCTGCATGGCAGGGAACGGAAAGTAGGGACGGTAGAACTGGGCAAGTAGACTTTTGAGACATCATATGACTCAAGTGTTGCCGGCAAACTGATCTGCTGCCAGAGAGGCCCACTCTGCATGGCAGGGAACGGAGCGACGGTAGAGACGGGCCGAGTAAACCAACAAATAAGAGGAGAAGGGACTGTTCAGGACACAGCTCTGTTGAAACAGGGGATGAATATACTCGAGGCACAATGAGACGAGGGAAGGAAAATGCGGTCCTTAGGAAAATGCGGTCCTTAGGAAAATGCGGTCCTTAGGAAAATGCGGTCCTTAGGAAAATAGCGGTGGGCAGGTAAACCAGGAGAGGAGGAGAACTAAAACGTATGACTTACCAGATGGCAGCTTCCCAGCAACTTCTTGCCCATCTTTCCTGCCCGAGAAAACAACGATAGGTCTGAGAGCCACCGTCATTGCAGCAGCGGTCAGCAAAAATATTTGCTGGGCAACCTGAGCTCCTCCCCCACCTCCTGGCCCCCCTCCCATCCCTCCTCCTTTCCCCTTCATTTCCCTCCACCCGTCCACGGGCGGGGCGGCGGAGTTTGTCAGTATGTGCATGCGCAGTGCAGGGTAGATCCCCGTGGCACCTGATGCAGTACCTGCCAACAGAGAAAGCACCCGAGCCTCTGCTGCTGCCAGGGTGCTTTCAGGGGAGGAGGAGCCAGTGACAGCTGACGATTTGAGGAAGCGCCACGTGGCAGTGTCACAGAGTGACACGTGGACACGCATGGCGAGAACAGTGAGTAGGAGGGAGGGTGCTGATGGGGTGGTGGTGGTGGTGGAGGGAGAGGGCGAGGCGGAAGAGGAGGAGGACGACGACGAAGAGGAGAAAAGGCTGAGGAGGGCACTGCAGAGGGACACGATTCTATGTGCCTGGTGCTGCCACATGGCACGCTGTGATTGGGTGCCGACGGCCAAGGAGCAGAAGTTGGTAGCAGGATCTGCATTGGGATGAACGAGAGAGGGTGAACCACAATTGCGAGAGGAGGGGGGAAGCGGAAGAACAGGCGAGCTTGAGAGGCCTAGGGGATCAACAAAAGAACAGGCGAGCTTGAGAGGCCTAGGGGATTAACAAAAGAACAGGCGAGCTTGAGAGGCCTAGGGGATCAACAGAAGAACAGGCGAGCTTGAGAGGCCTAGGGGATTAACAAAAGAACAGGCGAGCTTGAGAGGCCTAGGGGATTAACAAAAGAACAGGCGAGCTTGAGAGGCCTAGGGGATCAACAAAAGAACAGGCGAGCTTGAGAGGCCTAGGGGATCAACAGAAGAACAGGCGAGCTTGAGAGGCCTAGGGGATTAACAAAAGAACAGGCGAGCTTGAGAGGCCTAGGGGATTAACAAAAGAACAGGCGAGCTTGATTAAGTGGATTGGGACTGTTGAACCGACTGCTCCGAAAATCCCACTTACCTGGGAAACTTCAATAGCCCGACTCTTTAAGAGCCACACCAGCACTGACTGTAACTGTTCCACTTCCCTTCCTTCTCATCTCACCCTTTTTTTGACGGGCTTAAGCAATTGACACAAGACTAAACTCAAGCCCTTGCTTACCTGGGGAATCCAGACTTTTTAACAGCCACACCAGCACCGACTGTAACCGTTGCAGTTCCTTTCCTGCTCCCCCTCCCCCTGCCCCTCCCCCTGCCCCTGCCCCTGCCCCTGATCCTGCTCCGGTCCCTCCCCCTTCCCCTCTGCTTCCCCCTTCCCCCCCCTCCTCCCTCCCTCCAATTCTCCACTCCCTTTTCCGCGCATCCCACAGCAAGAACAGCACCGGCGCCAGAAGCTTCTGGGAAACTTCATCGGCTGTTAGAGGCGCTGGGGGCTGGCCCCCCACTGCTGCCATGCGGGAAGCATGCCACGTGTCCCACTCGGATTGGACGAGCTGGCGAGCGACGCAAGCTGCTTTCCTGCCACGCCACACACGCTGATGTGGGCAAACGGAATTACAGAATGGGTGGGTGAGTGGGAGGGTGGGCGAGTGAATGGGTGGGTGGGTTTGTGGGTGAGTAAGCGAGTGGGTGGGTGGGTAAGTGTGTGGTGCGAAACCATTTGATGGCAGATGTAGCGGCGTGCACGTAAGAGACAACCTGCCAGAAATGTGGACTTGAGCACCTGAAACGCCGACTGGATCACCTGAAACGCCGAATGGAGCACCTGAAGCGCCAATCTGGCGCCTGGCGCACCTGAATGAGCGCGGCGGAGGCCGCGGACTTGCGGGCCTTGCTGCGCGCCGCGCGCTCTTCCGCCACCTTGTTCAGTAGCGCGTTCCGCGACACCTCGCGCGCGCTCGCCCCGCGCAGCGACACCTGCGGAATCCGCCGGGGGAATAGGAGATAGGAATTCGCGACAGGAAAATAGTGAAATGAGAAATTCGAGAGATTCGACGGGGTAACAGGAGGGAGAGAGTCGAGCGTAACAGAACAGTCTGGCAGGGCGTTCCGCGATACGTCCGTTCCGCTCACTCCGCCAAGCGACACCAAGTGAAGATTTAGTCAAGCTCTTAACGACACGTGTCATGTCAGCATAGGGTCGATCTGGTACACCCAGTGACAGCACATGCCGGCAAACACTGCACGGCATGGAAGAAACGTAACGGTCGGACTCCCAGATGTAATGGATCCAAGGAAATCTAGCTCCTTCCTACTCCAACTGAGCAGCTCCGCGCTCACCTCGCGTCGCCCTCCGAATTGCATCCTGACCGTTGGACCGCTCCTGGCCTAGGTCGGCAAATTACGATACGGACTGGACTTGTCCTGAGTGTTGGTTGAGTAGGATGATTCCAGGACCCCCTGAGACTAAGTTAAGACAAGTTTTAGGAGACGGTGTAGCACACAGGAGGTCGTAACAATAGTCTCTTGGTACTCCCTGAGTTCTGAAGTCGTGAGTACGAATATTATAGCATGTTGAATGTCAGACTTTTTTGGAGGAATGCATTTGATTAGAACTGCTCCGATATCTGTTAATACTGGAGGACTGAGATCCAATCATGTAGTCATTACAATTTGAGTAACACCTATATCAATGTAGTGTACAAGGACTTCACGGGTGAACTGGGCTGCGTGACCGCGCTCGCTCCCCTGGCAGTCCATTTCGGTTCGGAAATGGGGTGAGTGACGGCAGCCTTTCAGCCAAGGGGAAGCTGCTATTTGCCAATCGGAAGCTTCTTTCGGGTGCCCAAGCCTGACGTCAGACCATAAAACCCTCATTATTGCCTATGTGTCGATCGTGGAATGTTGACATGGCAATATATGATTCGTGAAATTACTTCGCCGATTGGCTCTTCGGTTTCAGCAACCCGTAATGTTTTTCCAGGGCTGCCCTGACCACAAGTTCCCCCCCCCCAGCCCCCGTGCTCCACTCCCACACTAATCTTTTCCGCATTCTCCGCCAATTTCCCCCAACAGTCTCCGCCTCTCCCCCATCTTGCTATACATTTTCCACCAGTCAACCTCCAGACTCATCTCATATTCGCTCTCCGCTTTAGTCGGAGCTCTTTCTTTCCTCTCCTAAAGACCTGGTTTTCCCAGGCTCTCCGCATTCCACGGTTAGCGCGAGAATCTCTACTCCGTCGAGCTATCGGCTGCTTCTCTCTCTTTTAGCCGTCAAGACGAGCTAACCTAGAACCATCATGGCTCTTTCCTGCGGAAGCTGCACGCTCGGCAAGACCGCTGTGTCCGGTCTCTCTCTCAAAAATGACGCAACCCTCGCGTCCGCCAAGAGCGCCGTCGTCATGTCGCCCATGCCACGTGTCGAGAAGCTGAGCGCTGCCAGCAAGAAGGCCGCGCCTGTCGCTGTCAGCGTCCGGTCGCAAGCCGTCGCCACCGCGACCACGAAGCGCGGCGCGGAGGTGCAGTTCGACAGCAAGGTGTTCACCAAGGAGAAGATCAACCTCGCCGGCCGTGAGGAGGTAAATGATATGTGTGTTCTTTCTTCTCTTTAGGCTCCTCCAACCCGATATTGGGACGTCTTAAAAACGCAGAGGTGCAGTTCGAGAGCAATGTGTTCACCAAGGAGAAGATCAACCACGCCGGCCGTGAGGAGGTACACATTTTCGTTTTTACGTGCCGTTTTTGTCGATCGATATTGAGAAGTCGATTAACGCGGACGTGAAATTCGAGAGGAACGCTTCACAAAGGATAAACCTCGCCGTCCGCGAGGATTTCTTTTCAAGCTTCCACTATTCGATTCTGAGACGTTGAAACGGATGTTGCGGAAACGCGAAGTGGAGTTTGAAAGCATGGTGTTTTTCAATTAATAAAATAATACCTCTGAACGTTTTTTTTCGCCTTCTCTTCATTGCCGTCGCTTTTGGGTTCACCCCCATAAAATAGTTCGCTCAAGAAATGTTCACATTGCGTCGGACCGATCGCATTATGCGGATTCCCGCGTGCGCATCCCTCGTTGGTGCGAGTATTTGTCGGTTGAGAGTAGCGGATTCATCCACTGAGCCCTGACTTCGCGGATTCCGCGATTTCCGATATCTCACGTGTCATTTTGAAGTGCTTTGTTAGCCAGGTCATCGGGCCATTCAATACCCACTGATCGCTGATGGCTGATAGTTGATTCCCGATCTCTTGCACCGCATTCTCTTCATATTGCCATTTTTCGCCGCGTCCTTCCCCCCATCAGTACATCGTGCGTGGTGGGCGCAACCTCTACCCGCTGCTCGCGGAGGCCTTCAAGGGCATCAAGAAGATCGGCGTTATCGGCTGGGGTTCGCAGGCAAGTGCAGATTCATATTTCTGTTTACCCTCATTTTTTGCGTAAAACGAGTAGCCTAAACCCTGTTCCTTGAACTTGCACGTCTTGGCGATTCAGCCTTTTTTTTGCGATCAAATCTCATTCGCAACAAGCACCCCTTTTTAATGTCCTGTATCGCGTATTTCACTACGAGCTCCGTCTACCACAGGCCTTTCGTCAGCCGCGAATCATCCCCTCATTGTGTCTATCCGTAGAACGTTCACCACTCCCTCGCTGATCCATATCGAGTTCCTCTGTGTCGCGTATTTTCCACACCGCAGGGTCCC